GAAAGAACAACTAAGAACAAAAAGAATAGAAACAGAAAAAGAACACAAAAAACAATCGAAAGAACAAAAAGAACAAAAAGATAATGACTGGTCCCAGCTGGAACATTGGCGAACTGTCAGCAGAGCTGTTGTATTTTTTTGCAGTTCCCCACGTGTAAACAACGCATTACAGCAAGGTCCTGGATTAAGAACCAACCAGTCTCCCACACGATAAGAAATCTAAATTGCGCAACGCTAGACATAATTTACTACCCTGTCTGTTTTACACGCTTTCGTGCTATTTCGAGCATTATTTCTTAAAATAGAAACTCTTTCAATCAACACAAAGAATTTTATGAATTTAGATTTATCTGAAGTGAAAGGGATTTTAAAAACACGTTTCCTATCATTTATTTCAGAATGTAATTCTGTTATACAGAACATTTCCTGAGTCAAGTAAGACTTTCTAAAGTCAGTTGTAATTGCAACAGTGGATGTTTTACATACTAAGGGCAGTTTAATAGGAGGCGGGCTGCTTTTATAATAATAAAAATAGCAATTATGCTGCGCATTTGCATTTTCAAAAAAAAAATGGTCAATGCGCATTACATAAAAAACACATCACATCTTAAAGATTAACAGAGGAAATCCAGGCTGAAAGGGATACAGCGTCCCAGCTGACAGACAGAGATGTTTTGTTAAAAGGAAAAAAAAAACCTGTCCTCATGGGATTCGAACTGATATTTTTTAGTACGACGGCCAAGCGCCAAACTGCTGCACCACAAAAGTCGGTTGAAGTCAGGCGTAATGGTAGCTATTTCACCCTAGAATTACAAAGTTCTATCCGCTCAGTTCCTAGTTTTGAGAAATTTGAGGTAAAAAATGCTGAGTTCCATATCATGTCAAGCTTTTTCGAATGCAATTCTTTGAATACATCTTGAAAACGACTGCGAATAGTCTTACGATTTTGATAGAGCAGTTACAACATTTGGTTTCTGACCTCATGGTCTTAGTCTCAAAACGGCCAAAAATGTCAGATATTATAACTTTGTAATTCTGAGGAAGCGATTTAACAATGCAAGTATACTACGCTGGAAACTTTTTCCCCAAACACCCTTCGTCAGGTTCTATTTGTATGCTTCCCACAGACTGTGCACATTTTGCACTGGAATATGTATCGTCAAAATTTATCAATTTTCGTAAGTAACATTCTTCCCACTTCGAC